ACAGACACATTCATACACACACGCTCCACATACACACACACACACACACACACAAACACACACACACACAAATCATACACACACACACACACACACACACACACACACACCACAAACGACGTGTCGACCGGCACTACTTGGCTAGGTATTTTGACCAATGGTGATTCTCTAAACCTGTCACACTCCCAGTCTGTCGCACGCGATGAGGCCCTAGATCGCAATATGGACCGAGAGAAATGGTGGGCATTAATGATGTCACGCATCACATCCAACACCTAGGGATCAAACGGTTCGGACATCTCATGCGATTACCAACACATCACCCAGCACAATGTGCCCACATAAAAAAATAAAGACTGGATAGATGGAGTTAGAGAAGCATTAGTCATTATTAAGCTCTCCAGCTGGCGACAGAGAGACGTCTCTTTCCCCGCGACACCCAAAAGGGTATAAGCAGCGGATAAAAGTAAAGTAAAGATGTAACCATATATTTTTATGGGCAGTGTACTTGTCAAGGTACACCCCCCCCCCACTTTAAAAGTGGAAAATACAAAGCATGAACAAGTGAACGTCATTGCCGATGCTTCACCGACCAAAAGTGGCTATTGCCCAATGCGTTCTGCCGTAAGGAGAAACATGCCTAAAAGTAAAAGCAGTTGAAGAAGGGACTAAAGTTCAGACCTAAAACATGTAGGATACAGCTGGACAGAGGAGGAGACCATAGCATAAATGGAAAACTCTTGTTGGTGGTTAATACTCCAGCAAAGGATGATGATGATGATGATGATGATGATAATGATGATGATGATGATGATGATGATTTTGAATATGGCGAAGGCGAGTTATGAACCCTGGGGGTCCACCTCTTGAATAACCTAATTCGGGCTAAAACGGAGGTGAAAAACTCTAAAACTCCAACAACAAAATTACCTGGGGCAGCCAGTAAGGGTCATCTCCCTGACTCAGTCGCCGCTTGGAGGCGTCCGTGACGGAGCTGTCCTCGCCCACGTTGAAGGACTGGCTCTTGGTTGGCTGGGGGCGGGGCTTGGCGGACGAGGATGCGGAGCATCGGACCACGTCGGGCTCACTGTGCGCCAAGTCGGGGCGGCTGCTGATTGGTGGGAGGAAGGAGACCAGTTCTCTCTGGTCACCTAACATGTTGGCGATAGTGTCCTCCGAGACCTCAGCAGAACGGCCGAAATATTCTTTATCTTATGAGGGAGGGGCGACTGTGCCCAGTGAGATCGTCTGCGAAAAAAAGGTAAAAATGGTGTATGAGTTTAACGCTCCTATCAACACTTTTAGGTTATCTAAATGAGGGGACCTCCAAGTTTGACGTTCATCTCCGAAAGGACCGCGCCAAATGGGAAATTCGTGTGAAGTGCCTTTCCCAAGGACACAACGTCGGACCGAGCTGAGGCTCGAACCCCCGAACACGTAATCTCACAATTATGAGTCCGGCAGGCTAACCACTAGGCTACCGTCGCCATATAGATCGTTTGTGACATGATAATAAGAAACATCATCATCATCATTATTGCATACTTTCATCAGTGTATAAGCCACGAACAAACTAAACATTGTCCACCGTTCCCAATTCAGGGCAAGCCTCTTGCATGACATTGTTCCATGTTCACCATCCCACTTTTCTGTACCCTTATTCTCCAGATTCCACGTGGCCTTACCCTTGACCTCTTGTAAAACACAGTGCGCCTACACGTAATTCGTTGTTTTTTTTCATTAAAAAAAATAGTAAGAGTTTTAAGGCACTTGCAACACAAATAGGTCAAATAACTTACAAGTGCCGAAGATCAAAGTTTTTACAAGAGAAAAACATACAAAAAAATGAAAGATAAGGACAACATATTATTCTGATGTCTTATAGGAAATATGGAGCAAACCTCACACGAACACCCGCCAACCACTCACTTTGTAAGAGTTTTGAGGCACTTGCAACACAAATAGGTCATAGATATCCATCATCATGAGTGCCGAAGATTAGAGTAGTCACCGAAGAGTAATACAATGTACGAAGAAAAGAGAAGGAAAGATAAGGTTGACAGATTTGATTGGGGGTTTCTCGTGGTCCAGAGGTGACGGTGTTTGCCTGCCATTCAACTGGTCCCGGGTTCGAAACCTGACAACGACAAACACACACACACACACACACATACACACGCGAGCGCACACCCAAACACAAACACTCCCTCACATTTCCTCTCTTCCACACACATCTGTATAATAGGCCCCTACACATAAATCATATATACATTAGTACTAGTACCGTGCTTGCACTCACAAACAAATTCCCGGTCACATGCGATCTGGACGGACAATAATTTATAATCGTTAACATTCACCGTGTTATGCCTGATAATATAATCAGTATTCTGATGGTAACCCGGTGAAATCTTTAAAATATACACATTAACCGGAAACTCTAACAGCTGTGCAGGCTGTTACTTCTCCTTACACCAGTCAGCTCTACCACCCCCCTCCCATTTTCCTCAACGACCCTCCCCCCCCTCCCCCCAATTGATATACCATGCCTGATTTCTCGATTTCCCTGATGTTTATCTCTCTCTCTCTCTCTCTCTCTCTCTCTCTCTCTCTCTCTCTCTCTCTCTC